AAATCATTTTGTGAGGCTGGGGATGTAGCTCAGTGGAAAAGTACTTGCCTAGTGTGTGTGAGGGCCTTGGTTTGATTGCCATCATCAAGAAAGTAGGAGAGAGGGAGAGAAATTTCTCTGGTATCATTTGAACTCCTGGATCCAGCCAAACCTGAAGGCTTTATGTAGACTGTGCCCCTGCCTCCCCCCGTACTGGTGACTGACTAAATTCAGCAAATGCTTAGCAACATCCCTAGCCCCTTTTAAATTTTGAGACAGGTTCTTACTAAATTGCTTAGACTGGCCTGGAACTTGCAATCCTCCTTCCTCAGCCTCCTAAGTAGTTATGATTACAGGCATATACTATCCCCATAAAGTCTCCTTTATGGACTTTACTGTTACAAAAAGCCAGTTTGTTTGGTGTCTGGCAACTGCAACTGAAACCATCTAGAACAATAGACACTTCTACCCTAGTACTTACCAGAAACATCTAGGGATTTGGTTCTTTCACATGGACCTCCTACAGACTCCCTAGAGGACATAGTCATGATGGCAGGATGTTGGTAGGGTTTATCCTCCAAATCTGTGATCATACATCTCAGCTGCTTTGTGACCTTTAAGTTCTCACTTCCCCTCTCTGAACCTTCATTTCCTGACTGACTGGACTCTGTATTGGCTCTTCCAGGAGTCTTGAGTTTTTGAGGAAATGCCACTGGCTCTATGCCAGTCCTATGTTGCTGGGAGCTAGGAGTTGAGATCTTTTCTTTGGTCATGTTATTCTGGGGCCAAGGCCCAAAGTTTACAAATTTGTGCTCTAGATCAACAGTTTTCAATCTAGGTAGATAGAGATGTTGAAATCACAGGATAAAACACAATATAGCTATCTGGGTGTGGTGACACATGCCTGTGGTCCCAGCACAGGTAGGCTGAGGCAAGAGGATTGCTGTGAGTTTGAGGTGAGCCTGGGCTACAATGTGAGTTCAAGGCCAGACTGACCTGCATATTGAAACCTTCTCTCAAAAAAAAAAAAAAAAAATACAGCCTTCTGAAACATCAGTTTTATTTAATAAAAATAAAAGGCAGTATTTTCACATTTTTACTTTAAAAGGTATTTATTGTGGGGGCATGGTAATACATGCCTATAATTCTGGCACTTGGGCGGCTGAGACAGGAAGATCACAGTGAGTTTGAGGCTAGCCTGGCTATATAGCGAATTCAAGGTCGGCCTGAACTACATAGCAAGATCCTCCCTGTCAATACATACATACATACATACATACATACATACATAACTGTAGTTACTACAAGCATCTTTAGAGCAAGACATATGAAGTCAAATCCTAGCTCTACCATTACTGGCTGCATGAGCTTTGGAAGCTGCTTAACCTCTCTGTATAAGGTGTAATCAAAATAGATGTTTACATTTTACAGTAAAAGACATATTGTCACAGGAGGATTGTTGTGAGTTTGAGACCAGCCTGGGCTACAAAGTGAGCTCAAAGCCAGCCTGAACTGCATAACAAGACTGTCTCAAAAAGACAGAAAAAAAAGACATACTGTCATAGTCCACCTTAAAAAACACTGCTGCTTCGAGCACACTTATCCCATTGCTCTTGCCATTTTCTGATGCAGCTCTGGAACTCTTCTTTTGAGAGTCTTTATGAGGAGTGATTGGCATCCGATGAAAGGCAAGTTTATAAAAACGTTATGGTGTGTTCTCATCCACCTTATTCACGACATCTGGAGTGTGACTTCTTGCTCTGCTCCAAAGTCAAAATTACTGTGAAAGGTAAACATTTTGAATTGATTTAGGACATCGAGGCAGTCATGACAGTACAACTGAAGACAGTCACAACAGAGGACTCCCTGATCTGCTTCAGAAAGTAGCAAGGACAATGAGATAAATGTATTCAAAGCAGAGGAAGGGGCTTTGAGGGGCATTAATGACAATGTGTTTTGTTTTGTTTTTAGACAGGGTTTCACTATGTAGTTCAGGCTGGCCTTGAACTCATTAAGTAGCCCAGACAGGCTTCGAATGCATGACAACCCTCCTGCCTCAGTCTCCTGAGTGCTGGTCTTACAGGCATGTGGCACCATACCTGGCTACAATTAAAAAAAAAAAAAAACCTGTAATAATTTTTAAAAAAGGTTTAAGAATTCACTGTGTTTGTTCATCATACTGCATACCTTTTAGCATTACGGTGAGGACAATCTGTGTAAAGTGCATAGAACAGTGCCTTGTGCATAATGTTATTTACCTATTTTTATGTAAGTGTTATTTAAGTATTAGTCCCTCTTCACAACTTTCCACCTTAGAGACACCAACCCACCTGTTCTTTTTTAAAAAATTTATTTAAAACCCCACCTGTTCTTATCCAGACATTTGTGTGTCTACACCTTATAACTTTAATTATTACAAAGGTAATATATACAAAACCTGGGAATCACTCTATTTTTTTAGTTGACAAATGCAGAGTTTTATAGGTAATGTTGTCTACGGAGGGAAGAGCATGATCAAAGGTCTGGCGGTAAACTGTGGTCCAGAAGAGCATGGCCTTCTTTGCTGAAGATGAAGTTGGAAAAATCGGTTCAGTTCAAGGTGGGCGTGGTGGTGCACACCTGTAATCCCCGCACTCTGGGAAGCTGAGTTAGGAGGATTATGAGTTCAAGCCCACCCCCAGCAACTTAGTGAGACCCTATCTAAGAAAAAAAGACTGTGGCTGTAGCTCAGTGGGAAGGCTCTGGATTCAGTCTCCAGTACACCCACTAATCCTTCACAAATTTCAGATCATGTAAGATTTCTCATGCCTGTGCATAGTAAGGAATTTGGACTGGATTCTGCCTCTCAAAGCTGGTTTCATCTGTAAAATTTGGATAATTCCCATTTATCTTTGTAAGGACTGATGGAGAAGTGGATTAGATGGGAGAGATATCTTGTATGAGAAGCAGAGTGGCTATCAACAGGAGGTACAGAATTTTCTTTTCCCCGGTGTAGAGCAAACTATACTAATTCTCAGCGTGATCTGAAATTCAGTCTCATAGTTGGGTGTCTTACTATCCTGCAATGCACATCACAACCGCCAGAGAGAGCCAGAGACAAAGGAATCAGAGCTCCCAGAGCGCACTGAGCTTGGCGCCACTGGGAGGAGGTACCAAATCCTGGACCTGATCCAAGGCTCAATAGGGGTGCAGCAGGGCTCTAAGAATCCCCTTTGGGCCTCTTCTCCCTCTTAGACTGAATAAAGGGGACTGGGCATAAGGTACAGTCTAAAGCTCCACAACCAATCAGACAAGCTTTCTAGGAAGGTGTGTGGGGGCGAGATTATTTGGGAGCCCAGGTTTCTGTATTTTAAGCTGAAAAGACTCTCAACTCTGCTTCTAAACCACTAGGCCTCTCGTTCCCTGGGATACTCTGTGTCAGGGCAGGTGGTCCAGCTTGACCTGGGAACCTTAAGAAACAGGAGCCAGGGCTACAGTGTGAAGAAGAGGGAAAGAAGGGAGAGGGCTGTATCTGAGAATCAGTCTTTAGAGCATTATCCACATGGCCATCAGGACCCCTGCGGCTAGGTCTAGCGGAAAAGGCAGCTGGGCAGTAGCCCAGTGGCTGCAAAGTGTGAGGGTGTGCAAATTGTGAGGTCCTCGACTTCTTGCCCAGTTCTCCCAAGGTTGAGGGTTCGGCTGGCTCAGGACTAACTTCCTCAGTGCCTAGAACCTGAGAAAAATGGCAAATGTGGACGAGGGGCATCACATCTCTGAAGTAGATCACGAAGTAAATCCTGGACCAATGAATATACAGTTTGACTCATCAGCCCTAAAATCCAAAAGGACTGGATACATTTTTTTCATTTTTGAGACAGGGTCCTCACTATGTAGCCCAGGCTGGCCTCAAACTTGTGGCAATCCTCCTGCTTCAGCCTCCCAAGTGCTGGGATTACAAGCATGTGCCACCTTGCCCAGCAGGACTGGATAAATTGTGGCACATTAATAGAATGGTAGAGGGGCAGTTGGGCATGGGAGTGCATGCCTGTAATCCCAGTACTCAGAAGACTGAGGCAGGAAGATCTTAAGTTTAAGGCCAGCCTGGACTATACAGCAAGACCCTGTCTCAACAAAAGTAAAACAAGATGGGCTTGTAATTCCAGAATTTAGGCAGGAGAATTGTAAGTTTGAGTTCTTCCAGGTCAACTTAACAAGACTGCGTCAAAAACTTAAAATCCCCAGCACCAAAAAACAATTAACAAAAATAGAAACAGAGGATAAGGAAGCCTAGTGTCTCCATTTATGGTTTATCAGTCTAGCATTTCACAGAAATTTTATGAAATGTTTTGTACCCTGTCTTCTCCATTACCTGCACTGAGGCAGATTTTCCCCCTTCTATTTGAGATGTTAAAATGAAGGCCCAGAGATATCTAACATGAACATCTAAAATGAAATAGCAAACAAGGGCAGAGCTGGGCCCTGGAAACAGACGTACCCAAGAAAGGACTGGCAGGCAGGCAGGGATAGCCTTCAGAGCTGCGCACTGGCTCTTGGCCAACCCTCGTACCCACCCTTCCAGGGCCAGGCTCTGGGCTGTCAGCCCTGCCTCCACACTCCCACCCTAGTCCCCTGAGAGTCCATCACCCTGGCAACAGCCAGAGAAAGGCCCTTCTGAAATATTTATGGCTCAAAACAGTCCAGAGGCTTGGAGAGGCTGATGTCATCCTTCTCAGCTTGCAGACGTGGTGACTGACAATGCAGGGCAGCTGGGTGGGTGGGCCAAACCCACTAGGTTAGAACTCTCAAAGGAAGATCTCTTGGGCCTGACTGGTAACGGGGAGAAGGGGAAGTGTGAGCAGTAACAGGATCGGGAAGACCCGGAGGTCTGAAATGCAGGAAGGAAGCTGAAGTGTTGAGCAGTATCATGTTGAGACCCATGCTAGGCATTTCAAACACACTCATTTCATTCTCAGATCCCGTTCTGTAGAGGGGTTATTATCATTTTATGGGGGAAATGTAAACTTAAAAATACAAGCAGAAGCTGTGCTTTGAATCTAGATTTATTTGGCTTCAGCCCTATGAGCTTTCCTGTAGAATTCTGTAGCTCCCAAGTAGATAATGTATACCTGGGGATTGAGGGGATGTCTGCCTAAGATCCTAAGTGAATACAGGCTCCACGGTGATGCAGGGTCTGTGTCTCCATTTATCTATGACCAGAACACCATCCACTTCCCTCACTCCTGTCTCTCCTCCCTTGTCTGGTGAACTGAAGGGAATCTGGCTACAAACTGAGGCCCAGGAGAAACCCAAGAAACAGCCAAGGAAAAGTACAGCCTTAGTGGCTAGCCATGCATTTAGAGCGACCAATGCAAAGAGAGTGACAAACTCATCTAGGTTTGCCCGGGACTCACCCAGTTTTATCCCTGAAAGTCCCACATCCCGGCAACATTCTCTGTGCACCTTTTTCTAAACAGCCAAATTATTTATTCTCCTTAAGTCTCAGTTTCATCATCTGTAAAAAAAATATATTGGTCTGGAATATTAAATGAAACAGTGCATGTAAGTGCTTGACACAATGCCGGATATGAGACAATCAAGTTATTAGCTAATATTTATAGTCATCAACAATGAAGACCAGCAGGCTTGGAGGTTACACAGCTTGCCCAACATGAATCAACTGATTTCAAGGTCTCTTTCCATTATACCTCTGTTCCTGCTAAGAATGAATCCAAGCTCATGAGACTGCCCCAGGTACAGTTAAACTGCAGAAAGCCTCCTTCCCTAAACTGAGTCCTTCCCCTTAAATCATGTGTTGTGTATTGAAAGTCCCTAAGCTCTGAGGAAACTCAGTGTAAATCAGCTAGGCACAGGCTTTAGAAACCCAGGAGTCTATCAAACACTGACTTCCAATCAATCCTTCCAGAGAAAATGTTAGGACAAACAACTGGCCTAGTATAGCTAGAGGGGAGGAAAAAGCTAGATATGGGGATTTGGCTCTTTCCCAAAGTTATAGAAGCTACCAGAGTAAGACCATTCATCACTTGACCAAACCTTTATTGAGCTCCTTAGGGGCAGGTACTTTCTGGGGAAGGAACATAGTAGAGAAGTAGAAAAAAACCCCCTCCTTTTAAGAGCTTTTTGGACAAGTAAAGAACAGATGAACAGGCTCAAGTAAAGAACAGATGAACAGGCTCAGGGGTTAAATAATTTGCCCAAAATAAATGAACCTTCCCACTTGGCTTTCCTTGGCTTGTTACAAGAAGGGGTGACTACTCTCTCTCTGGAAGTGGCCAAGAGTTGCCAGATTGACACTTAAAACACAGATGTAGCAGGGAGGAAAAAGAGGTGGTAGTAGGGTGTTCAGCCAGTTCTGCAGGCTAAAGGGAAGACAGCCGGGGAAGGTCACATTGGAAGTTGCCAATCTATTCTGATCTAGAAGGCCGTGCTAGGGATACTGTTAATCCCTTTCAACCCTGAAGTCTTGAGCAAGTTTAACTGTTAAGCATCACAGTCCTCTGCACCCTTGTTCTGTTCTGGGCCCAAAGATTCTTATAGGATGATTCTGTCTGTTTTCTCTGTGGGTAAATCAGATAGATCAAGGGGTGGGGTGAAAGAGAACTGCTGATCTCTCCTGGGTTTCTCTGTGCTCAGCAAATGCCTCCAGGCCGGCCTTTATACAGCAGGTAGCTCTCCTGGTTTCCAGACTCGTCCGACAGCTGCAAAGACAAAAGTGGTAAATTAAGAAACATGAAGCTGCCCTATCAGAAGGCTGTCCAGCCTCCCATCTGGCTAGGCTGCCTCCTTCCAGTTCTCCATCCCGCAGAACACCTCCAGCTGTTTCATTCAGTACACAGCTTCCAGGTACAGACAGACGGACTGTCAGAAGTCCAGAGCACATGAGTTCTCTTTGTTGTCAGATAATGAAAATGGAGCCTCCCAGTCCAAAACTCCATCCTTGGCCATGCATGAGCTGAGTGATCTAGGGAAGAATGAACTAAACATAGGGCCTAACATGTGGGTCTTCGGCTTCACAAACAGCAAAATGCTTTGTGCTAAGACATATGAGAACGATCAAAAGCTTTCATCAAAGCCTTTGGATGAAGGGAATGGTGAATAGGCATCTCTTTATTGCTATTACTAACTCAACTCTAGGTTAAGGGGACTGTCTTTTCTGGCCTTATGAATAGTTCATCCCAGCCCCAAATACTAAGGGTTGCTCACTGGAGAGACACACCTAAAGCTTAGGGCACAGGCTGAAGACCTAATCAGATGCTTATAGCGCTGCTGTTTTTGTTCTAGTCAGTAACTCAATATATATCTACCTTAATAAATACTTCTCCTATATCTAATCAACCACCAAATTATGCCCATTTTTGTCTCTTAAAAGCTTCTGAATCCATTGAGTTCTCTTCATTTTCAATAGTATTACCCTACTACAGCTCTTTTTAGATGCCAGGGACCCAACTCCTAGGCCTCTGACATGCTAGGCAAGTGCTCTACCACTGTGCTATGACCCCAGCCCCTCCTTTTTAAATAATGTTGAGACTGAACCCACGGTATCAACTGAGTTATGTCACAGGCCTGCTACAGGCCTCTCTTACTTCCTGTTTAGACTACCAAGATTTCCTAACAGGTGCCCACAACTATTCTCCACTTCTTGGCAAGTAAGTTTTAAAATAAAAATCTGGGCTGGAGGTGTGACTCAGTAGTAAAGCACCTTGCCTAGCATGCACGAGATTCTGGGTTCAATTCTCAGCACTGCAAATATAAAACTAGAAATTTAATGTTGAGCTGGGCACAGCACTGCACGCCTGTAAACCAAGCTACTTGAAAGGCTGAGGCAGGAGAATACCAAGTTTGAGGCCAGTCTGGGAAACTCGGTAAGACCCCATCTCAAAAATAAAAAAGGAAGGGGGATTTATCTCAGTGGGAGGGTAAAAACTAGGAGCACAGCTTAATCTCCATTACCCTCACCACCACCACCACATGGGGTGGGGCGTGTGTCACCCTCCAGCACCTCCTAACTTAATGGGCTTTAGTGATGCCCTCAGACTAAGCTCTAGATTCCTACTTCACCTTGAACCTGCCTAGAATATGATTCATGTCCTTTCATCAGACCATCTCCCAAGCCCTTTGCCAAGCCAAGCTTTCCTTTAGATGTCAGCTTAAGTATGGTTTCCTCCAGGGAAAACCAAGTTGGATGCCCTCAAAGTGCCCCTTTCTTTTATAGAATTTATCAAAATTATAATTTACACAATTATTGTTTGTCTCTCCACATATTCTGTAAGCTCCATGAATCCAGGGACCCTTTTTTTTCTATAGTTCAGGTTGGTCTTAAACTCACTATGCAGTCCAAGCTGGCCTTGAACTTGTGGTAATCCTTTTGCTTCAGCTCAAGTGCTGGGATTACAGGTGTGTGCCACCATGCCAGGCCAAGGACCATTTTATATTATTTGTTCATTACTGAATTTTCAGTTCTAGGCACAAATAGTAGGTATTCCAATTTGGTTTTTTTTTTGTTTTTTTTTTTGGTTTTTCTCCGGTACCGGGAACCGAACTCACGACCTTGCGCTTGCCAGGCAGGCGCTTTTGCCACTGAGCTAAATCCCCAGCCCCTGGTATTCCAATTTGTAACAGTAAATATAAAAAAGGAACAAAGCCAGGTGTGGTGGTGCACATCTGCAATCCCAGTATTTGGGTAGCTGAGGCAGAAGGGTTACCACCAAGTTCTATGCCAGCCTGAACTATAGTGAGACCTCACCTTAAAAAAGAAAGAAAGAAAGGGACTATTTGTATCAATTTCTGGAGAAAAGTGTATAAAGAATCATGTCAAAACAAAAGGTATTTTTTTTTCTGTTTTCGTATAGTCAGTGTTGGGGATTGAACACAGGACCTCAAGAATACTATGTAAGTGCCCTACCACCGAGCTACATGCCCAGCTATTTTTTTGTCTCAAAGGCACACACAGACTTTGCTTTCTACATTCCAACCCCAAAGGGCTGAGAGATAGGTAGCACACACCTTACATCTGCTGGAGTAGAAGACCCCAGAGAATTCACCCTGACATTCTAAAACTGTTCTACCCCACGTTCTCACATACACTGTGGTGCCTTGGGCAAAGAGACTGGCTGTCCTGAAGTGGGCTGGGCTCCAGAGACTAACAAGAAAGCAGCTAATTCTAGTATTTTAATGTAGTATTAAAATTAGAAAGACAGGTGAGGCATGGTGGCACATGCCTGTGGCTTCAGCACTTGGGAGGCTGAGACAGGAGGATTCTTACGAGTTCAAAGCCAGCCTGGGTTACATAGTGAGTTCAAGGCCAGCCTGAACTACATAGTGAAATCCTGTTTACAAAAAAAAAAAAAAAAAAAATCAGAAAAAGTGCCCAAATTTTTGGCCAGGTATTCTACTTAGCTGACTAATCTGGGCTAGTGATCTGGCTGTTTCACACTGTCTAGCAACATCGCAAATACACTGTCTTCTTTTCAGGGATCCCAAAACCTTTCCAAAGCTTCCTTCAAGCAGGAAGATGTTGGGAGCCGCAGAAACTGGAAAATAATTACACGTGCAGGATGAAGCCAAAGCCAGCCTGAGAACAGGAGAGCTCCTCGGAGTAAACAAGCCTTTGTAACTTGTTAACTGGTTGCCGGGCAGCGAGACAAAAATTAACCAACCTCTCCAGGGTATAAATAAACGTTTTTGGGTGGTCCTCTTGCTCATCAGGCAAGAGGTAACTCCACCTGACCCCACCTCTTTTCTCGTCTTTATTTTTCTCATACCCACTGCCGTTTCTCTCTGGGGTACAATGGGAGACCAGTGAGGTTCCCTACAGGAAGATCCAAGAGCAAGGAGGCACAAAGCTAGTAGCGTATCTGTCTGGGAACTTTACTTGCCCATTTCCTGCTTGAGATGCAGCCAAAGACCCAATGCCACAGTACCAGTTAGGAATGAGGAGGACAATCTCTACTGAGCAGCCATAGCACCTATAGTCAAGGGGTGTCAAGAAGCTAAGGTACAAGCTGGGCGTGGTGGTGCACGCTTATAATCCCAGCACTTGGGAGGCTGAGGCAGGAGCCTCATACTGCTGTGCGTGTGAGGCCAGCCTCTGCTACATGGTGAGTTCAAGGCCAGCCTGAACTGCATTGCAAGATCCTATCTAAAAAAAAAAAAAGCTAAGGTCATCCATATGGCTCTAAGTCCCTTGTAGATACAAATCATCTTTCATAAGAAAGAAATGGTTCGATGAGAACATACACTAAGATCTAGTCCCAAAAAAGACAAGAGGAGACTCCAGTCCAAGGAGGTTAGAAAATTGATTCTACATGTCAGTGAATTGTTCTGCTATTTTCCACAATGTAAGTGTTTAGTCTGCTGCTTGAGTGTACTTGTGCCTAAGGCCAAATTTGTAAGACTAGACTGCAGTGCCTACCACAGGCCTTCACTCCTAAGGGGCCTAGAAAGGACGGGCCTATTTTTTCTAGGGTAGGAAACAAAAGAATGGTAGTCAGTGTAGCGCATGTCTTCCCCTCCCCCCAACAGCTGCTGTCTCAGACAGCTGTTTCCAGCCTGTCTGCTCAGTGCCATTAAATATTCATCAGATGCGTGAAGCTTTAAACATACAATGATTATTAATCTGGAGGGCCAGGGGTACATGTGAATCCAGAAAGGAGGTGGGAAGCTCAATCTGGAAACCAAGCCAGGGACACCTGTCCTACTCATCAAGGTTATGAATTACTTTCAGTGCAGCACATTTTATTGTTACTCTAGTTAAAAAGGAGAGGCCAGGAGGCAGCAAAGTAAAAGCCAAAAGACTGCTGGGTGTGGTGGCACATGCCTGTAATCCCAGCACTCGGCAGGCTGAGGTAGGAGGATCGTAGTGAGTTCGAGACCAGCCTGGGCTACAGAGTGAGTTGAAGGCCATCCTGAACTGCATAGTGAGACCTTGTCTCAAAAAGACAAAAAAAGAAAAAAAGTGAGCTGGAGGAAGGCAAGATGACAGGGCAAGATGACTGCCTTTACCTTCTTGAAGTGGTGCCACTTCATGGAAACTTTTTCTCCTCTGTCCCTTATAAACCCTGTCTTGCCAGCACACTGGCAAATACATGTGGTCCAAGTCACTCTCATATTAACGTCTTTGCTTTCTACACTTTTGCTTTGTGTGTGGGTGGTGGTGGAGCCTGTACAGGGGGTTGAAGCCAGGGTCTCTGTACTGAGCTAGTTCATCCTCAGTCCTCTATTTTTTGAGTGTCTTGCTAGGTTGCCCACACTGGCCTGGAACTTGCTATCCCGCCTCAGCTTCCCAAGTAGATGGGATTATGGGCATACACTACCATGCCTGGCTAAACTTTACCTTTTTAAAAAAAACACTAGCCTGCATTTGTAGCCTTTCCTTAGAGCTAACACTTCTTAAATGCTTACATGTTACATTTAATGTTTTACATGAAATAGCTCAATCTTCAAAACAATACTGTGAAGTAAACAGTTTCTCCATGCACATGATAAAAGAGATGTGAAGAGGCTACTCCAAAACTTAGCATTGGAGGGGGAAGAATTTGAAATTCATCTGTTCAAAGCTATAATAAAGTGTTATGTTAAAGTGCCTGTCTCAGCATGGCTGATTCTTAGTTATCCTTTAAGATTGAATTTAAGGGCTGCAGTGCTTGTCTAGCATGTTAGGCCACACACACACACACACACACACACACACACACACACA